CCTTTATTCCCTTTATTCCCTTGATTTCTTTATTCCCTTTATTCCCTTGATTCCCTTTATTCCCTTTATTCCCTTGATTTCTTTATTCCCTTTATTCCCTTGATTTCCTTTATCCCCTTGATTTCTTTATTCCCTTTATCCCTTTTATTTCCTTTATTTCCTTTATGCCTTTTATTTCTTTTATTCCCTTTATTCCCTTGATTTCCTTTATCCCTTTTATTCCCTCGATTTCCTTTATCCTCTTTATTTTCTTTCTACCCTTTATTCCCTTTATTCCCTTTCTCCTTTTGATTTCCTTTATTTTCTTTATTCCCTTTATTCCCTTATCCCCTTGTTTTCCCTTATCCCTTGTATTCCCCTGATTCCCTTTATCCTCTTTATTTCCTTTATTCCCTTTATCCCTTTTATTTCCTTTATTCCCTTTATCCCTTTGATTTCCTTTATTTCCTTTATTCCCTTGATTCCCTTTATTCCCTTGATTTCTTTTATTCCCTTGTTTTCCTTTATTCCCTCTATCCTCTTTATTTCCTTTATTCCCTTTATGCCTTTGATTCCCTTTATTTCCTTTATTCCCTTTATTTCCTTTATTCCCTTGATTTCTTTATTCCCTTTATCCCCTTGATTTCATTTATTCCCTTTATTCCCTTTACTCCCCTTATTCCCTTTATTCCTTTTCCCCTTGATTCCCTTTATCCCCTTTTTCCCTTTCCCCCCGATTTCCCTGATTTCCTGGATTTCTGCCTTCCTTTCTGTCCCGTTTCCCGCGGGCTCTGCGGGATTCCCGCATTCCCAGCAATTCCTGGCCGTGCACGTTCCGGAGCGGCGCCAGTTCTGGCTGGGCCTGACGGACGAGCCCAGCGAGGGCTCCTGGCACTGGGTCACCGGGGCGGCCCTGCAGCTCCAGTGAGTTTGGGATCAGTTTGGGATCAACTTTGGGATTAACATCCCAAATCCAACCCTTGGGAATTCCCAGGCACTGGGGCACCGGGGGGGCCCTGCAGCTCCAGTGAGTTCCTTTGGGATCACTTTGGGATCAATTCTGGGATCAACTTTGGGATTAACATCCCAAATCCAACCCAGCTCCAGTGGGATCAGTTTGGGATTAACCCCCCAAATCCAACCCTTGGGAATTCCCAGGCACTGGGTCACCGGGGGGGCCCTGCAGCTCNGAAATTCCGGGAATCCATTGGAAATTAAATTCCAGGGATCGATCAGAAATTCCAGAGGTCAATTAGAAAACAGGGAAATTGATTGGAAATGGGAGGGATCAAATTAGAAATTCCAGGAATGAATTAGAAATTACAACAATTAAATTAATTGGAAATTTTTCCTTTATTTCCTTTTTCTCTTTTATTCCCTTTATTTTCTTTATTTCCTTTATTTCCTTTTTCTCTCTTATTCCCTTTATTCCCTTTATTTCCTTTGTCTCCTTGGTCTCCCTGATTTCCTTTGTTCCCTTCACTTCCTTGATTTCCTTAATTATCTTCATTGACTTTATTTCCTTTTTTTCTTTATTCTTCTTATCTCCTTGATTCCCTTGATTCCCTTTATTCCCTTGATTTCCTTTATTCCTTTTATTCCTTTGATTTTCTTTATTCCCTTTATCCCCTTGATTTCCTTTATTTCCTTTATTCTCTTTATTTCCTTTATTCCCTTTATTTCCCTGATTTCCTTTATTCCCTTTATCCCCTTTATTTCCTTTATTCCCTTTATTCCCTTGATTTCCTTTATTCCCTTGATTTCTTTATTCCCTTTATTCCCTTGATTTCCTTTATTCCCTTGATTTCCTTTATTCCCTTGATTTTCTTTATTCCCTTTATTCCCTTTATTTCCTTTATTCCCTTTATGCCCTTGATTCCCTTTATTCCCTTTATTCCCTTTATCCCCTTGATTCCTTTATTCCCTTTATCCCCTTGATTTCCTTTATCCCCTTGATTTCCTTTATTCCCTTTATGCCCTTGATTCCCTTGATTTCATTTATTCCCTTTATCCCCTTTATTTCCTTTATTTCCTTTATTCCCTTGATTTCTTTATTCCCTCTATTCCCTTTATTTTCTTTATTCCCTTGATTTCTTTATTTCCTTTATTCCCTTGATTTCCTTTATTCCCTTGATTTCCTTTATTCCCTTGATTTCCTTTATTCCCTTTATTCCCTTGATTTCCTTTATTCCCTTGATTTCTTTATTCCCTTTATTCCCTTTATCCCTTGATTTCCTTTATTCCCTTTATTCCCTTTATTCCCTTGATTTCTTTATTCCCTTTATTTCCTTTATTTTCTTTATGCCAT